GACCTGCAGTGCGAGCTTTTATGCCCCACTCTTTTACAGTTGAAACATTTTTTTATTCCTAAAATTGCAATATCTGTACCAGTGTAGTTCACCGCAAGCAAAACATGGCTTCAGGAGTTTTTGTTTATTTTTCTCTGGTATTTCAGTTTTTGCTTGATAATCCGCAATTTTAGAATTCTTTTTGGTAGACTGACTTTCTTTTTTGTAGCGTATTTTCTTTACATGCGAAACGCCAGACTGTTTTATATTTTTTAATCTTTCTTTACGCTAACATATCTTGTGCAGTCTTCTGCCAACTTCTGTATCGTAAGACTTGGATTGCTTTCCAATTTTGCCAGTACTAATTTTCTCAACTCTGCGTCTCTTTCCGATACCAGCCCTTGAACAAACATCAAACACTTAAAATTGTCTGCGCTTAACTCTGCCTGCTTGAATTCTTCAGAATGCTTGTTCACATTGGCTGCGTACGTTATATAGTCTTGTTCGTCATCTTTCATCAGATTCAAATATTTCCACCTTCATTTCCGCCTCGGTAAATGTCAACTCGCTAGTTTTTTTCGGTAAAATGTAGTTTACCAATTTGTTATGCTCAGCAGTTCCTAATTTGCTTAAAAGAATCCTAACCTTCTTTCTTTCAGACCACGAGTAGCAGTCCTCGTTATACACGCCCGTATATTTTTTATAATATTCCTCAAAAGTTATCTCTTCATCTGGACTGTACTTGAATATTTCAATTGAATTCCATATTGTATTCTCAGGGAAAGAATCATTTTGTAGATTTTTCTCTTTCCTCTTCTCAGTTATTTCCAGAATTTTGTTTTGAAACTCCTTATGCATCTGTTCCATTTCTTGTTGAAATTGCATTTGTCTATTGAAAGTTTTCTCCTGTAATTGCATCTGGAATGTTTTCTGTTGTTCTAATATTGTCATCTGTTGTTCCGACTGGAACTTAAAAAATTCCTGGAATATATTTTTGCATTCCTCCATCTTCGCAAAAATTTACACAATGCTTAAATATTGTAGAGGCGGGGGGGTCTACGAATTTGCAATTCGTGACCTATTTGAGCAAACTGTATACTTTTCTCAGTTGAGAATACAACAGATTTTTTCGTCACTAAGTTGACGTCTTGGCTTTCGAAAATTTTTTTTTTTTAATGTGAATCCGGGACTTTGCCGCCGAAGTTATTGTGGCGAACGAATTTTTTTCTTCCTCCGTATGAGTATGAATTTCGTCACCAAAAATTGTCATGCTAGCGAATTTTTTTTTTCCACCGTATGAATCCGAATTCCTCGTCGTCAAATAATGTTGTGGAGTGATTTCACAGTGGAGACTTGTATTTGTACTAAGTCGGTCCTAAAATAGGTTCGACGTACAAAACGTTATGAACTTGGTATAATAGGTATAACGCAGAGTAATCTAGTTGTGATCGCTGATACTTTAGTATTCGACTGACTGTCGTCCGACATCGACTGACTGACTGACCTACACCCTGACCGACCCCCACGTTACTCTTACTACTCCTACTTATTATAGGTGGGAGAGTCTATTAGCTATAGAATAGGTGTGTTCCACTATAAAACTCCAAAAATGAATAACACATAATAATATAGGGGGTTGCAGATGTAAGGGAGGATGTGGTTACGGAAATTGTATGACAGCAATAATTGGGTTTTTGGGTTCTCCTGCTTGTGTGGCATGGCACAGTATAGACATAGAGCCTTCCAGCAGCCACCCTCTTGACCCAAGACAGCACTACCTCCTCATGGCACTTGATGTAGGCCTCCATGTTGAGTCTGAAGCCTGTGGGAATATGAATGTAGGCATAATGTCGCCATCACTAGTGATCACTCCAAACAACTTCGTAATCACCATTAAACTCATCAGAATCCACTGCACTGTCCTCAGATTGGCACCAAAACACACTGAATTTTTTTGTATTGTAGCTTCTGGTGCGAATGTCAAGCAGTGCAGCATGACGTTTCCAAATTTCTGGCGGAGTTATTTGCGTCATGGTGCTCCTTTTCTTACGGACGGTGCCCAACTGACTCTACTATACTGTGCAGTTGACAAAATAAAAAAAACAAAAACAAACAACGCGCATGCGCGAAATTTTAAAATTTGACGACAATTTACCCATCGCACCCTGTATTAACTGTTTTTGTTCCGACATCTTTTGCTACCTTCAATTTACCGTTTCAACCCTTCCAGAATTTTTATTTTTCTCTGCAAAAACTGTTCTACGAGCTTTTGTCCTTTGAGAAACTGAATTTGTTGTTCATTAAAAAAAAATGAACCGGTTTTCGCATTTGCCTAATACCTGCCTAGTATCGTTCATATGCAAATAGACAGCGCCACCTACTCTAAGTAGAATGTCTTCTCACAACAGCCCATTGTAGAAGGGGACGCAACTCCTGCTGCTTACAGCACCACATACAACCAACTCGGAGTCTGTTATAGGGCTGACCCGATTCTCTGTTACATCCCTACCTCCGATCTCCTGATCACAGCACCAATATGCAGGGAGCGGGCGTTTCCTTCTGGTGCTTCTTTGCAAGGGAGGTACTTCATCCTCAATGTTGCCACTACGTGAGGTAGGCACTTCATCCTCAGTGTTGTCGCTACCCATCTCCACCGCGGCAGGAGGCGGATCGAAAATCCGGGAATCTATTTCCTACTCCCCATCGTTAATGGATGAGTCATCAGTGTCGCTTTTGGCAGAGCATTGATCCCATGCAGGTCGGAGGTCTTTAACATGACGCATCATACCATCAATCAGGACAGATTGTAGACTAATGATCCCAGTGACCAAAAACAGAATAAATGGTAATCATAAGGTGCCTGGTAAATATGGAGAAGTTAATATTTTCCCAGCAAGCCCTGGTCAAGAAAGAAACATGGGGTCTAAAGTTATCCTGAATAGACTATTAGGGTCGTTTCTCTTAAATCATTTCGGACACTTTTTATTGGTTGCTGCCTTCACTGTTTATGACTGGAAACGGCACTTCTTCAAATCAATCGTTTTGTTCTCTGAAACGAGTTCATTCCATTCTGATACCATTTTATACATCACTTTCTTTGCATAAAGCCAAGCCTCCGATACGGCTAACAATGATTCATTTTGTCTGCCATACAATCGTGTGTGCGCCACATTATTACAAATATCCAATTTTCATTGTCCTAACTTGTTTGCAAATCAGAGCATTAATTGTAACGAAGGTTTTAGTCGCGAATCACACACAGAGGTAAAGAAAGTCACACATCAAAGAGACTAACGTAACCAAATAAGAAATTGGATATTTTGAAAATGTTTGGTTGGATCACTAATGGCTTCAACTGGTCTAGTTGACCGTTGAATAATATTCATTAACAAGTCTCTGACAAGAAACTACGCAAATCACTTTTAACAAGTTTGATCAGTTACAAAATCTCCATAAGTTACACGGATAATTTTTAGCATTTCATTTGAATTTTTACCTTTCTTAAAGTTTTAAAAATGTGAAAAATGCACAGATTGCTGTTTAGTTTTAAAATTTTTAAATTAAGAAAGAAAAACAAACCAATTTTGACAAAATTAAAATTTAGTTTTAATTCCATATTTAAATAGGTGACTACAAATATTTTCTTAGAAAGAGAATACCATAATGAAAAAGGGCTCCAAACTTGATAAAAACAAAGTTTTATTGTCAAATTTTTATGTTATCATTAAGAAGAAAAAACAAGTAAATTTTATTTTTTCGTTAATTTTTTTAATCCGTTTTTGTTGAGGTCCGTATATTTAAATCTTATTTTTAACACTGACTATATGACATTTGTCAAAAATATGACATTTGTAAATGATATAATGGAATATGCATACACCTGTGTTCCCCCTCACTGGAATATGATTGGCTGGTGTCCGTCATAAATATCGACGGACGTGTAGATGAGAAGTCAGAGCCTTAGTTTGAGAGCTAAGTCTATAACGCCGCCGATTGGACTACGCCGTTGATCTACACTTCTTACCTGCGACTACGACGCGTACCAGGCGATTACTGCTACCGTATTCTACTTGGTTATAGTAGCCAAAACCACTTAGCTACTTCGTTCAAATATATCCCTTTCTGGGACATATCAGTAAAAAATATGACGCTTATATTAAAAATAAAAATATGAAATTTGTCAAATATGACATTTGTCAAAAATATGATATTTTTCTTATAAAAAATAAAAATAGGACATTTGTAAAAATTATGACATTTGTCATATAACAGATAAAAATATGACATTTGTAAAAAAATTGACGTTTGTAAAAAAATATGAAATTTGTCATATAACAGATAAAAATATGACATTTGTCAAAAATATGACATTTGTCAAAAATGTGACATATGTTATATAAAAAATAAAAATATGACAGTTATTAAAAATATGACATTTATCAAAAATATGATATTTGTCAAAAATACAATGAAAACCGACCTTCTTTTTATTTATTTATTTTTGTTGAAAAATAAATTTATTAAAACTAAAACACCCTTTAAATGAAATGTCAAGATAAAGCCAACCGAACCTTTTATTTACCCAATACGCGAAGAGAAAACCAAAGATTAATAAAAAAGATTTTGTGAACAAGCGTTTGTAAATTGTAATCCCAGATTTGGGTGATGCGATGTTTTGCAAAAAGGTCCAGCTCTAGACAAAGAATCTACTTGCTCGGTAATTAGGAATACTAAAGTCACACAGTATACAAGCACATTAAACGACGTCTCGCTAGAAATTGAGTAACCTCACATGAGATGTTCTGTTCACGCATGTGCGACAAAATCTCTTATAATTAGCTGCCAAGATAAATCAAGCTCTCGCAACCGGTTTCTGTGATTTTTTTTTTCAAAATAGCTGCGTACAGGCCACTTATGTCGGTTTAAAGATCGGTTCCTATCCTGCTGTAGTCTGTGAACATTTAATATCCCAAAAAACAACGGGATAACTTTTGAGTACGTGACTTCCCAGCTGAAACGAAATGCACCAATCGGATTTGACTCCTTGCCATTACTTTCTATACGTGTGGGCAGATGAAACATACAAAACTCACCCAAGAAAGATCGATGAACTCGAGGTTAGTCCGATATAAGCGAATGAACCTCCAGAGATGCGAGTAGCAAGCATCAATAGAAGAGTCAACCGACTTGAAAAAAAAGAATCGAATAGCAACGAAATTAATTTATGTAAAAGTCAATTTGTAATAAAATAAAAAGACGTAATATTTATTTTTAAATTTTATTACTTTTTTTTATCATATCGTTGTGTAAATAAATGGATAACAATTCCAATAGAGGGAAGGGGTGAAATCCATTCATCCAATGAGAATTCTGATGTTTACAAAGTTGTTCCGAGAGAAAGATTTTCATTACATCCTTTAAACCCAGAAACAGACAGATAGATACATACATACATAGAAAGATAGATCGATAGATAGCATGTGAACAGACGAAGCCAGATAGATAGTATGTAAACGGACTGAAATAGATAGATAGATAGATAGATAGACAGACAATATGTGAGCAGACTGAGATAGGTAGTATGTGAACAGACTGATTAATATATATATGTATATATATATATATATATATATATATATATATATATAGATAGATAGATAGATAGATAGATAGTGAACAGACTGAAGTAGATAGATAATATGTAAACAGACTACGATAGATACATAAATATTAGGCGAACAGACTGAGAATATATATATATATATATATATATATATATATATATATATATATATATATATATATAGTTTATGCAAAACTAGGTAATCCGTATGAGTAGACCCAAAGAGGATGATATCCAGAGAGCTCAATGTAAGTTCAAAGCAAATATGTTTGAATAAAAACAGATCACTTTAAGGCTCCATGTAATAAGTTATTTCACCACAACCCTTTTACAGGGCTCTGGATCATCAGACTACTTCCAAAAGTTGAAATGAAAAATGAACTATATATATATATATATATATATATATATATATATATATATATATATATATATATATATATATTTAAGACAATTTTATGTTTATACATTCTTTTATACATACAAATATTTAAGTAAATGCTTTGTTTATAATAAACAGTATTAACAAATAGGCTCAGCATATTTTCTATGAACATTTATCGGACTTTCAGGCCGGTAAATGCTGTTAATACTGTTTATTATAAAATAGAGCATTTACTTAAATATTTGTATGTATAAAAGAACGTATAAACATAAAAATGTCTTATATATATATATATATATATATATATATATATATATATATAGAGAGAGAGAGAGAGAGAGAGAGAAAGAGAGAGAGAGAGTGAGAAAGATAGTATATGAACAAAACTGATATATATATATATATACCTACGTTTGTAGTACAACTTAAAGTTTCATGACTTCATAGCAAAGAATCCAACCACCCACAAAGAATTTTAAACAACTTGAACAAATCGGGGCAATACAGATTCCCATTTGTCATAAAAAAGATAAAAATATAACATTTATCAAAAATACGACATTTGTCAAAAATATGATATTTGTCATATAACACATAAAAATATGACATTTGTCAAAAAAGTGACATATGTTATATAAAAAATAAAAATACATTTGTCAAAAATATGACATTTATCAAAAATATGATATTTGTCAAAAATACAATGAAAACCGACTTTCTTTTTATTTATTTATTTTTGTTGAAAAAATAAATTTATTAAAATTATTTTTGACATAAATAAAACTAAATATGTAGAGGCACTAGAAAAAAGTAAACACAAAGTTAAACTAGAATATATTTCAAACATTAGTAAGAATGCCAACAATAAACATCAAAATAGAAAACGCAACATAATTTGGTTTAACGCACCATTTAACAAAAATGTCAAAAACCAATGTAGGTAAAATTTTCTTTAATTTAATCCACAAACATTTCAGCCATATAGCATTCCTCAACACAATCTTCAACAAGAAAAATCATTAAGATTAGCTACAGCTGCACCAAAAACCTCGAACATTATATAGCACAGCATAATAATATAATATATAAATATAATAATATAACATAATATAACATTAAATAAATATTTAAACGAACTCAGTAACAACATAAATACAGACAAAAAAGTGTATTTGTCGAAAAAACAGTACCTGTCCACTAAATCATTAATGTCTAAACAAAGGTGTTATTTATAAGCTATCATTAAACACAATGGCGAGACTAACTTTTATTTTGGTTCCACTGCTAACCACTGGAAAACCCGATATTACCACCATAAAATGACTCTTACCAAAAAACAATATTCAAATGCCACGGCACTCTCAAAATTTTACTGGGAAATTCAAACAACTATACACCGGTAGTAAATTGGAATTTCGTCACCAAAACTACACCCTTTTCCGGCCGCGGCGATCGATGTAAACTGTGTTTGCTGGAAAAAAGGTTCTCAAAAATATTAATGACTCCAACCTATTGAACAAACGTAACGAACTCATGATAGCTGGCATCCATAAAAAAGTTCTCACGTAAAGTATTTTGTTTCTGGATAAATCTTTTTATCCAATTTCAACTGACCATTAAATATTTTAGATTAAATACTTATTATCCTCCTTTAACCATTTAATAATATGTAACGGGTTGCATGGCGTTCCTCTTTTTGTTTAATTTTTTCTTACTTTTTACCTTCTCTGTATATCTACATTTTTATTTTTTTAGTTTATATCCTAATATTATTAAACATTACCTTTATATAGTGTGCAGTGTTACTCGCTTGAAACATAGAGATTATTTAGAAACAAAAATACAATTCAGCGCGTCTATTCGCTCCTTTTTAATCATACTTCCTTCTTACTCTTTATGGTTTTCTAACTTAAATCTTTTTTTTTTCCAATGGAAAAACATGTACCGAATAAACTGTAAGCTTGCATCATTTTATTTGACTTTGTTTTCCCAATACCTGCTTCCATACAATCTACATTTTGAATTTACACACCAATAATATATTGGGTTTATGTTAACTTTGAGCTTTGAATCAGTCTTTAATTTAGTGTTCCTCACATGAGACCCAGTATTAAAAAAAAAAAACAACAACTATAAGTGGCTCATTTGCCTGACAACTTTGGAAACCAGAAACTTTAAGTTGCACTACATACGTAGGTATATGCGTATTTATTAATATATACTTCATAGCTCTGTTTCACTACATTGAGCACTGTTTTGTTCGCGCCATAAATTAAATAACATAATTATTTATTTGCTTATCTGCGTATGGACGTTATCGCACGCATATGCAGTTAGCAATATATCATTATTTAGGTTATATTCACACTTCTATCTATCTATCTATCTACCTATCTATCTATCTATCTATCTATCTATCTATATATATATATATATATATTGTCATCCACAGACAGACTGTTTCGCTGTATCACACTCTTCAGTGTGGCTAGACGTCCGTTTGCCTCTAGCTAGGATCGAAACCTGGCTGAATTGGCGTCAGATTCTACTACTGAGCCGTCGGCGCACGGCAGGGATGAAGGTGAATTTTAGCGTATTTATTTTTAGATAAACATGCAGTGACTGAGAGAACTCGATTCGCTTTACCGAAGAGTCTTGCTATATATATATATATATATATATATATATATATATATATATATATATATATGTGTGTGTGTGTGTGTGTGTGTGTGTGTGTGTGAAGAAATATAGTTTTAAGATGTGCTATATTTATGGGATAAAGTGCTCAATATCAGAGATAGAGCATGTAAATATAAAAGTGAACATAGATGTCAACAGTGGCGACAGTCTGTTTCATGCTAGATGCAATCAGTGGCCTGACGATTGCATCTAGCATGAAACAGACTGTCGCTTCTATGTTGACATATATATATATATATATATATATATATATATATATATATATATATATATATATATATATATATATATATATATATATATATTTACCATCAATACTTTTTGAAAAATGTTATCAGAAATAGTTTTTTGAAGAAAAAATATTACTAGCAATACATGTTTGAAAAACAAATATTACCGGCAATAAAAATTTTGTCGGCATTAAATAACCCATTGAGGTTGATATGCCGTAAAACAAACCAAACCAGGCAAGACGTTTATGCCACCAAGACGCAAGGATTTACTGGGATTGGCGGAAAACGAAAGGACTTTATTGAGGAAAAAGGGGAATAAAAGCACGGGATTCACGAAGACAGAAGATGGCAATTGAAATTGCATTTAAATTTTTGAAGACCGTAGATGGTAGGGAAGCAAGAAAGCGGACAGGACTTCCACAGGCAAGAAGTACGAGGGAAGAAACTATTAGAATAGAACTCACGGTTACATATATCTATTTCATCAATAAAACCTAGTAACCAAACTAGCATTACGCTTAAATTCATGAAGCCGTGATGCCACGTCACGGTGATAGGAAAGTGACGGAAGTCGAGATGACAGGTCAGGACCGATGACATTACAGACCCTCCTTTAGATTTTGTCGAGAATCTCTAGATATATGAAAGAGGCACCAGATATCAGCGATATTCAATGCACGGACGAATGGTAGATTTTTAGGGTTCTGGCGCGAACAAATAGCTGGTAGGATACACCAGGCCAACTTTTCTAGCAGCAGACCTAGCAACTGATTCAATATAATCGTACGACCAAGGAATTGCAAAGAGTTGCTCCCCTAGAGATTAGTATCAGCCATGCTGATGAAGATCAAAAATAGTTCTCTATGATGATTAAAAGATAGGAGTTTTGTTTTAGAAGCGCAAAAATTTTACAAGCCATTTCTTGCACCAGTTAACAACTGAACGGAAGTACTTTTCGCGAACAGCTGCTAGTTTTACTTCAATGAGTCTATCGCTTTTACTATAAAGACATGAGTAAATAGTTGCGTCATCTGAGTTGGGAACTGATGAACGCGAAGAGGTCGTTGATGAAAATAAGAAACAACTTAGGTCCAAGGATATAGCCGTGGAGGATCCCTGCTTCAATGTGAATGATCTAGATCTGGCTGTTCACAACGGCTTTCATTGCACGATCTATCAAGAGAGATTGGATGAAATCGAATATTTGGACAGATAGTGCTTCTGCTTGGGAAGAAGGCCAGCTTGCAAATCCTGTCATCTGCCTTCGAAATATCTAAAGCCACAACCCGAGCCTCGCCGTTCTAAAGCTTGATAGACATATTCAGTAATAATCGTTATCACATCACCGCTTAACCTGGAGAAGCGAAAGACATTGTTTACGGCTGTACGAAGAGATGTTTAGGTAATTCAGAAGATGATTCCCAACAAGCTGGAAAGCAAGAAGCAACAAGGCATTTGTTGTCGGGTTTAGAGAGAACAGGAGCCAGTTCAGGAACATATTTCCTTAATACAATTGCAGGGATACCGCCAATTCAACTTTCAACGAGAAATCGATCAAAAATTAAAGTCTAAATTGTATTAAAATTATCTCAAGTTAAAAATTAAGGAACAAAATTTTTAAAATTATGACTGTATGGAATGAATTTGATAGGAGAGGTCGAATAGAATAACCAAACAGTGAGAATAAACTTTTTCAGTGCTTGAAGAGTGCTTGGGAAAAACATTTTTATAGTTAAGTGCTTATTTCTTGTTAAAATAAAAGCAAATATAGTAGTTACTGAAATTCAGCTTCTGAAGAAAACCAGCATGCCAAACCCTGTCAAATGCTTTTGAGATATTTAAAGTCACAGTTCGAAGAATGATAAACACATTCAATAACCGTTAACACATCGGCGGTTGACCTAGAGAAGTGAAAGTCATATTGTTTATCTAAAAGAAAGCTGTGTGAAGATAGATGTTTAGATAATTCAGAGTTGATTAGAGCCTCTAGTACTTTGCCAAAAAGCAGGAAAAGACTAACAGGATGGTAATTTGAGGGATCATAAGGTTCACCAGAGTTCTTAAAGACAGGAACTACAGAAGAGGATTTCCAAAAAGCATGAAGGCATTTATTGGAGAGAATGGGAGTCAGTTCAGGAGGACCTTTCTTAAGAGATGCTGTCAAGTTAACACACCTTTTATGGATATAGTTTAGAGACCCTAGCAGAAAACATGGACAGAATTATGTGCAGAGAATTCTGTTCTAAGTGGAAAATCTGGTAATGATATTCCTGAAGAAGACTTAAAAATCTAGAAACAGTTTCAAAAAATTCTTATGCCAAAAATAAATATAATTTCAAAATAGTTATAATAATTACGGATCGATTTTATCATTGTGATATTTTTGCATTATATCAAGTATTAAGAATATAGTAACTAGGATGGTAGAGTAATGGATAGTGGTTTGGATTGAGGAATCAGAGCAGAGTTCAAATTCCAGTCAAATCCATTACATTAACTTACATGCTAATACACTTGGGAAAGGTATAAATCCTCTTCTCCCACCATCTATGGGTCAATCATACTGTAAAAAAAACCCTATTCTATCCCAAAATGAGACTGTTATCGTTTACCCACTGTAAAGAACCTTTTCTGCCCCAAAATTAATTGACTTAGAGAAACAAAAGCCATACAGTTTATATGAAAGAAGGCCATGTGAAGGAAGATGCTTAACCAATTCGGAGTTGATTAGAGCCTCTAGTAATTTGCCAAAAAGCGGTAAAAGACTAACAGGATGATAATTCGAGGCATCAGAAGGTTCACCAGAGTTCTTATAAACACAAATTACAGAAGAGGATTTCCAAAAAGCTGGAAAGCCACACGGCATTTAAAGTTATAGATTAAATGAGTCTCTATTACTACGACGTCACTTGTACAAATCAAGATACCGCTTGTTCAATTCGTCGTTCTTGCTTTCTAAACACTTCACAACGTAAAACCGTCTTTTTCTTCTCCCGTTTTCACTGCTTCAGCCCTCTTTTATCAGGCCAACACTGCGGTCGACCAACCAATCAGCGTTCTTCGCTTTTACTCTCAGTTACCCAGGCAAATAGTCTCCCCCAGTTCGACCAATCAGCACACGACTTGCTGTTGGTGGAAGCATGCCAAACTATACAAAAACCTTCGTTACCGCAGATTTTTTTTTCTTGCCGATGTCATGTACCTCTCTTTAAAGTAAGACTCTTATTTTCCTATGCACCAGATGCAAGCCACTCTGACTCGATTGCTTCTACGGCGCTGTTCGCCACAGAAGTGTTAGGAGAGAAGAGGGTCCTATTCAGGAGGACATTTCTTTGGAACAATTGCAAGGATACTGTCAAATTCTTTTCAATTGTAGCTGTGAGAGAGTAATGTATTTCGTTTCGTTCCAATTCTGTAATTATTTCATATTCGGCGCAAAACAAATAACTCGTCTAATATTTTAGGATAAAAGAATGAACCATTCAAGCGAATCTAACGGAACAAGATACATTACTCCACCCACTAGACTCTATCACGACTCCAACTAAAAAGAAGGCATCTAAGCTTAAGAATTTATTGAAGCCCTTTAAAGTAATAGGAGCCTCCGCACCTACACATACATTCGCGCGCACACATGCAAACATACACGAACACACATATACAAACACATACTCGAACAGAAACCTTCAAACATACACACACAAACACACAGGAACACAGTCAGTCAGTTATGTAATACCCACTTAGGCGATCATGTATCTTTCGAAACATGACTGACGAGGCAGATTTTTTTCCCGGTGTTGCCATTTCTTTTTGCGGTAGAGAAGTTGCCATCCAAGGCTATAAAACCTGGTATGTCCTGCTATTTACCCATAACTGGTTGGGGGTGAGGAGAAGACGAGGATTCATACCTTTCCCAAGGGTATTAGCACGTAAGTGAATGTAATGGATTCGAATGGAATTCGAACTCGGCTTTCCGATTCCTCAATCCAAGCCGCTATTACTCCACGCAAGACAAAATACACGACAAAAACACTCACAAGCACACAAAGAAACACACATATATACGAACACACCCACTCACATAGAAACACACACACACAAACATGCGAACACACACACATATGGAGATGACTAACTTTAGAAGGATCTTACAAATCGATCCAAATGGAATACGGTTGATGCCGACAATTTCATGAAGATGTTTTCGCAAGTATATATGATGTAACGAAAAGATATCCACCGGAAATAATCGAAATCAACCGGAAACAATCGAACAAAAGCAGCTTCGACAGTTGTCGGAGTCAGGTTCCTCTTGGCGACAGTTGTCTTTCGAACAGAGGAAAGGGGAATGATTAATTGGATCAGTGGCGAAGGAGAAATCGAAATAGCTTCTTACTTCTTTCTTTCTTTTCTTTTCTTTTTCTTTTTTTTTCATTCTTTCTTTCTTTCTTTCTTTTTTTCCGCTTTGTTAATTTTTGATTAGTTTATTTCTCGTCTTTCTAATGCCTCTGATCGGAACGTTTTACAATCTACGACCGTTAAAGAAGCGGCATCGATCGCAAAATAAAGAAACAGACCCCAATGAGATTTGAACTCGGATGTCGCATCCGCGGAGGCTTGTCTGTCAGAATCGGGGTCTTAACGATTTATTTTTATCACTGTAGTAATAGCTTCTGCAATTTAGAGAAGAGTCAGCGTCATTCCAAGAGTTATTCAGATTATTGATTTTGATGTTTGTATTGCATTTGTTATGTTAGCAGAGCGTTTCATCCATTCTGCGCGGTAATGATACAACGGCAGGCACGTCGCCACAAAATATAAAAGTGGGTGTATGTAGTGGAGGGATTGGGCGGGGGTGGGGGTAAATTAAATGTCGAAAGTTGGTGAGGGGACTAAATCAGATGTTAGAAGTGGGCTAAATCAGCAATTTTGGTCCTTTCATAAAAGGAACTTTCTTTTAGTTTTATTATCCTATTTAATTTAACATTTATGTTTTGATTGTAAATTTTCATTTTTTATTTCCTTATTTACTGACATTTCGCATGTATGTATTTTTGGGGGCTTAGGAGCATATCACGTTGTAACACCGGTTCCCGTACGATCACCGAAGTTAAGCCTGGCCAGTTCCTAGATGGGTGATGCTTAAGAATACCAGGTACTGTAAGCTTGGATGTGCGGGTGATAAAATGGGCTTACGGCCTTATCACATTATGACACCGGCTCCCGTACGGTCACTGAAGTTAAGCAATGTCGAGCCTGATCAATGCCGAGATGGGTGACCGCTTAAGAATACCAGGTACTGTAAGCTTGGATGTGCGGGTGATAAAATGGGTTTACGGCCTTATCACATTGTAACACCGGCTCCCGTACGGTCACTGAAGTTAAGCAATGTCGAGCCTGATCAATGCCGAGATGTGTGACTGCTTAAGAATACCAGGTACTGTAAGTTTGGATGTGCGGGTGGTATAAAGGCTTACGGCCTTATCCCATACAATCACCGAAGTTAAGCAACGTCGAGACTGGTCAGTACCTAGATGTGTCACCGCTTGCGAATATCAGGTAATGTAAGCTTGGATGTGCGAGGAATGGGATGAATAATGGCTTGGAATTGTCAATCGCAGAGTCGAGTTCCAATTCCCATTGGGTTCGTTAAATTCATTTATGCATAAATACCCTTGATAAAGGAATGAATCCACCTTTACTTTCCCGAGTAAGACCTTTATCACTAAGCTATTATTATTTACCCCCGAGAAAAAAACCTAAAGAACTAACTTATAATCTAAAATTATATTCTGGCTTTAAATAACCTACAAGGGGTTGATAAGCCATAGAAAACGAATCAATCAATTATTTCCGGGAAATAAATCGTTAGACTTTTTTTTGCATATAAGAGTGATCATTATCTGTTGTCTTCTTCATATGTTTTTCTTTTTCTCTTATTCTTTCACAGTCAGTAACTCCTTGCGTCTTAGTGGCTTTATTACCTTGCTTGGGCTGAAATGAACAAAAATAAATAGATAAATATTTAGAAGTAAATTTTATAATTAATAATTTATAAAAAATTAAAATAACGAAAAATGAAGTTTTTTTTAATTATTTTGAAAATTAATGGCATTAATGATTTTAGACAAATGATATCGAAAATTAATAGCATTAATGATGTTTACAAATGATATTGAAAATTAATGGCATTAATGATTTTAGACAAATGATATCGAAAATTAATAGCATTAATGATGTTTACAAATGATATTGAAAATTAATGGCATTAATGATTTTAGACAAATGATATCGAAAATTAATAGCATTAATGATGTTTACAAATGATATTGAAAATTAATGGCATTAATGATTTTAGACAAATGATACAGTCCATCTCATTATCATAACCAGAGGCCAACAAAGAAATTTAGTTTTTGCATTGGTTTTCGGTTCCAGGAAAAACGCCCTCCCAAATCTCTCCCGAGTAAGACCTCCGAGTAAGTCTGTGTGTACGCCATCCCGTGCAGCTGCGGAAAGAAATATAAAGGGGAGACAGGCCGCACCCTTAAGGTAAGGCTTCAAGAACACCAGAAAGCTGTAACATGAGGAGAAGTGGAAAAATCGGGCGTGGCTGACCACATATGGAGAGAAAAAGGAGATCACCGCCCTCTGTGGGATCAGGTTGAAATCATAGACAAAGAACATCATTGGAAAATTCCACAAGGCCGACCAAGCATAAAAATGAATACAATATGGGAACCAGTAATAAGGAGTACCAGAGAAAAGCAATAATAACAAGAAAAATTGCAATATGAGCTCTGGTAAAAAATGAAAGGATACCAGCAAAAGTTGCAATATGAGTACTGGTAAAAAATGACTGCTGAAGACATTAGGTTTATAATACCCAGAAATTCATACACAGATGTCCTCAAGGACACATGGCACAGTGGATAAAGGTGCTAGTTAGATCCAGTGACCAGGACCCCAAAAGTGTGAGTTCAATACGTGGTTAAGGCAGTGGAGAACTTTCAGACGGAAATTAACAGGAGATAATTGGTAACTGACATCCATTAGACATGGCACGTGGAACTAGAACAGTCTACTCCAGTGAGCGAAAAAAAAGGGTTCACTTCGACATTCCAATCACCTAAAGAAGGCCGGAGCGTTGTAATAAATATGGCGTCAAAGATGAGGACAATATTCCGAATAATGTAAATAGACAGGTAACTTTTCCACTTTATAACACTCTATAGATGAATGATTCTTAACCCTTTTCCTTGTTTGCACCCCTTTCAAAACACCAACCATTTCTCGCACCCCTTTCAAACCACCAACCACTTCTCGCACCCCTTTCAAACCACCAACCAGTTCTCGCGCCCCTTTCAAACCACGATCCATTTCTTGCACCCTTTTCAAACCACCAACCAGTTTTTGCACCCCTTTCAAACCACCAACCAGTTCTCGCACCCCTTTCAAACGACCAACCATTTCTTGCACCCCTTTCAAACCACCAACCAGTTCTCGCACCCCTTTCAAACGACCAACCATTTCTTGCACCCCTTTCAAACCACAACCAGTTCTCGGACCCTTTTCAAACCAGCAACCAGTTCTCGCACCCACTTCCAGAATTGATGAAGAACAATATTGATCTCATATGTAAATAACAAAACCATTATCTTTCTTTAATCTTTATTCACATAACTGACAACAAAATAATGCATTACAAAAACCCAGATTACTTTCATATTAGCAAAAAATATAAAATGATGGTAACATGTGCTTTTACTGTGCATGGTGTGTTTTTTGAATGATTGAGCAACAAACTCAGTCACTTTTTTGCTGTTGTTTTCTGTTTATGATGACATCAAATTTTGGTGCTGAGTGCGACTCGTGTGTCGTGTTGAGGATTCAATCAATTTATGTTCTCTTGGTTTTAATATGAAGCAGACAGGAAAATTCACTTTCACACAGGTATGTAGTCGTGAAAGGCACCAGCACGGCGAGAGCATTTTTTTTTCCAGTACAGGATATGTTTTCCAACTAAGAAAGCCCAGAATTACTCCATGCGATCATCAGTGAACTCCATTTGGATTCTACTATTGCTTCTCAGATTGATGAGATCTTCCTCATTGTCGCTGTCATCATCAACATTGCATTAGTTTTCTTAATAAGCCATCCCTAATGATTCTGTATCGTCGCACCTCCTAGGAATTGATATCGCACCCCTAGGGGGTGCTAGCATCCCTGGTTTAGAACCACTGCTTAGATATAGATTGATGCAGTTGTCACCTCGCTTCACATGTTCTCTCCTCGATAAACATGGCATTAAACAATTGAGGCCGCCCTTGCACCTCTGCGGCAACAGAGTCGTCTATTTTTCGCTTTAATCATTTCACTTGAAACAACGTGATAAAAACAATAAAACGCAATGGTGTTACTGAGAGTGAAAGGAACTAGGAAACCGTTATTGAGAAGACATTACAAGAAGACAGATAACAATTGGCATTGAATTTAAATTTTCGAAAATCAAAGATGTCTGGAAAGAAAGCAGCGAGAAGAGAGTTCCACAAGCGAGAAGTGCGAGAGAAGAAGCTTACGGTTAGATCTAGCCATTTCGGCTTTAAATGACGAGACCTCGCTGCCAATCTAGTACTGCACTTAAATTCATAGAGTCTATGTAACATAGCGGAAAGTAATATTTATTTTGTTGAATAAAAAACTATGGCACAAGGCCAAAAGAGAGGCATCGTGAAAGAATGGTCTTAAATCTGCCTTATCTTAAACTTAGCTAGCCACAAACACTGACCCCCCCAAAAACTACAACATTCCTTTCGCCAAAACAAGACATTCTTACTTTATATTTTTACTACAGCCACCACAATACCCCAGAGTCTCTATGAAGTCCTAACTAGTACCCATATGTAAAATTTGCCTGGAGAGTTCATCCGAACAATTACCATGAAACTATTTATAGAAAAGGTAGAGGGAAGCTATATTACGGCGGTGGGAAAACGACTGAAGCCGAGATGCCAGGTCAGGATCAATAATATTGCTGTTTCTTTGGATTTTATCAAGAATCATTAGCAATATTCAATGCATGGGCGAATGATTGACTTATAAATATGTAAGGTAGAATCTGTTGAGAAAAATTAACTAGCATATATATATATATATTCATAAATCTAGAATTCGTCTATGCTTTGAATATTACTGCCACATATGTTTCGATTCTCCTGCTATATATATTTAAACATTCTTGATACATGGTAGATGATACTCAATTTTTGTGTATATACATGTTTGTGTGGGCTTCATTACTAGAGACTAGATGTGTATTCCATAGCTGGGAATCTAACATGTGTCATCAGCCCTAGTCCCGTTGGACCTGGGAACAACAGCAATTAAGAGGCAGTCCCATGCTCCTTAAACCCTCCAATCTCCTGATCAGATGTCTTGCTGCTGGGTGTAGTTTATCGGCATATCCAAGACTATAGACTCCACGAAATGCATATGTTGCAGGAACTGGTTCCGTCAGGTTTTAGAGATAAATAAACATGAATGAGACATAGCAATCGACAGAGATGGCAAAGGAATGGTTAGGTGAGGTTAGTTTGGTGTGGGCACCTAGTAAGGACCGAACTCAGTATGAATAGACTGATATAGATAGATAAATAGATAGATATGAGCAGACTGAGATAGATAGATATGGACAGAATGAGATAGATAGATAGATAGATAGATAGATAGATATATAGATAGATAGATAAGAGCAGGCTGAGATAGATAGATATGAACAGACTGAGATAGATAGATAGATAGATAGATAGATAGATAGATAGATAGATATGAGCAGACTGAGATAGATAGATATGGACAGAATGAGATAGATAGATAGATAGATAGATAGATAGATAGATAGATATGAGCAGGCTGAGATAGATAGATAGATATGAACAGACTGAGATAGATAGATAGATAGATAGATAGATAAATATGAGCAGAGTGAGATAGATAGATAGATAGATAGATAGATAGATAGATAGATATGAGCAAACTGAGGTAGAGAGATAGATAGATATGAGCAGAGTGATATAGATAGATAGATAGATAGAAAGCCCAGATAGCGATATTCAACTATCATAATTTTACACAGAATACCTATTATCAGGATTTATACCAAAATAAATTAATACATATAACAAAGGTGTTGAAACAAAATGGCTATTTTTGTAGTGATTTTATAACATATTTATGTTATATATATATATATATATATATATATATATATATATATATATATATGGTGTCCATAAAGTTCGTGTGCACTTTAAAAAATTTAATTTTATTTGTATTTGCAATAGAAATAATCTACAAAAAATGTTATAAAGTTTAACGTACTTAGTTTTAAGTATAGCTAAAATAACTAATGTGATTTCAAGCATTACTGCAAATCAGTTGGCAAATGTTTTCCGTGAACTGCAAAATCGTATTACCTTTTGTATTGCTAATGATGGAGGAGATGTAGAAACTTAAATAAAATTTCAATAAAAGCTTAAAAAATATAGATTTACTTCTTTCTAATTCTTTTTACAAATTATTTCTATCGTAAATACAAATAAAGTTATAAATTTTTTTAAAGTTCATAAGAACTTTTATATATATATATATATATATATATATATATATATATATATATATATATATATATATATATATATATATATATATATATATATGTTATGAAAAACTTGGTAATCCGTATGGATCTTTCGTTTCATTTTTTGGAAGTTTTATTTGATGATTCAGTGCCCCTTAAAAGGGTTATGGTGAAATAAATTATTATAATGGAACCTTAAAGTGGTCTGTTTTTCTTTAATTTATATATATATATATATATATATATATATATATTAAGATTTGGCTACAATCCTCTTTACAAGTACTACTTTCGTATACTCTTGGATACAAACGTTCAATCTGTGCTTATTTTATCCTCGTTTATAAACAATTCAGCGTTGGTTTTGATCTCGAGTTCATGGGCTAACCTTATTGCTGGGATATTAAGCAAAACCTCGGCGAGAAGACAAAGATTATGGATCTTTCCCGTCTCTCAAATACGCATTTCCTTACAGAAATAGCTTCAGAGTTGAATTATCGAATGCCATAAGTTAGCAATGACCGGCCAGTCAAGACTAAACCGACTTTCACTGAACAAATATCCATTCAGGAAAATTACTTCCAACACATTGGGAAATGATAAACTTTTTAGGTTTTTTCGGACAAACACATTTTCTTGACTTTGGTATTTTTATGTGCGACCTCAGCCTCTGTAAGTGAGTTAATTGTTCTCCCCGTTAAGCTTGTTACTATGAGCAATATTCATGAAGAAGATATTAGTTCCGTTTTATATATGGAAGCTCGCAGTTGATAAATTGGTCAAATCGCTACAAGTGAAAATTTGGCACTCGCAGTACATATCGAAGGCAAATGTTTGACATGCTCATTCCCAAAGAGACAGGTAACATTTCTTGTATCCTAATGAGGAAGGAGGGCTTGGAGAATTTGACACTCACGTGACATATCGAACTAAAGAAGGACAGCTACCTGACGAGTTTGTGTGAATGGATAGCTGAACGTGGACAGATTTTGGGCCAATGGACAAAGGCTGCTCGAGTGGAATTTACATCTGACAAATGGAGTACGAAGGGAATGAGTGTGGCTCCCTACAATGGACATGGCATGGCGGATCTTGGCCGTGAAATTTAGAACTGGTGAAACTAAGGTATGTAGTTCGTTTGAGCACTTATCATCTAAATAGCGTTTGTTCTCATCTCTAATGACTATGGTATTATTAGCTGTTCCCTTATAAGGAAATATTTGGCATTCATTGACAAATGGAGTACGAAGGGAATAAGGGTGGCTCGCTACAATGGGCGTGGTGTGGCGGATCTTGGCTGTGAAGTTTACAACTGGTGGAAGAAAGTTTTAATTTAACTTGTTTTAATTTTTAAATGCTGTTTTGTTATTATTTTAAAGCCGGTTATTTGCTTGTTTTTGGCGATTGCGCTTATGTAAATGGTAGAAAGTCCAATTTATAATGCTTATTCGTATTTATGTGGTGGGATTAATTTTGCTGGAGTGGGGGGTAGGAAGTATAATTGTAGACTGATACGGTAATGGTAATTGTGGTGCGGTAGTAGTAATGGACTAATGAGGCAATGCTAATTGTCATGCGGTAGTAATTGTGGAGGGAGCGGGTGATGATAATAATTGTGGCAGCAAATAGTTATGGTAAATTGGTAGAAGTGATTGTAGCAATGGTGGGGGAATGGTAATAAAAATAATTATAATTATTATGATGGTAGCTTGAGTTAAAAAATAATTGATGATGTTATGGTGTCAGTGGTTTCTATTTTCGTGTTCATAGGGTCAATGGTGATTTATGTAGCAGTGTTGGTTGGTATTTTTTGTGATAATAGGTAGTTGTTTTCATGTCTGCATTTAGAAATTATTTCTGATCTTACGTTTGGTAATTTCTTTTGATGGGTGTGAGAAATTATTGCTACCTTTACGTGTAGGCAAAGTAGGCATTTCTTTGTAATATTGTTGCAGACAGGTGCGTTTTTCCATATTTCCCAGCTTATTCTT